CTAAACATGAAAATTTTAAACAGTTTAACATGTGAGCCCAATTTTAGAGGTATATGTGGAGAGAATCTTGTGCGTATATGTGAATGCCATGGGAGATTTATAAATACCATCCAAAATGTAAAGGGAGAACATTTTGCCCTTAAATATACTTCAACATTTAAGTGATTAATGTTCTAAAATGTCTTAATTTTAGTGATAAAATTAAAGAGAACAAAAGTCTATGGTTTTCTAAAGGATAATAATGAAAATTCCAGCCTTCCTTTAGAAATGTCAGAAATAATTTTCTTTGAAGAGAACGTTTTTCCTTATTTCATGCCTAAATAAACCATCCCCTGGAATCAAAGTGGAGAAAGCAAAATTGTAAGTGCTAATTGCAACTAGACAAAACTTTAATTGATGCAGTCCACATTTTAGTGGCCAGGCTACAGGTGACAGGTTGTCGAGTCTATAAAAACAGCACAGACTGGGTGCCTGTCCTCGTATCTGATGCCCATGTATCCAGATTTCTTTCTCCTTCAAGCTCTTCCTTTTCCTCTAGTCTCCCTGCTCTTTCTTTCTTCTCTCCAGGAAGTGATCAGGAAAGGAAAGTATCAAAGTGAACCAGAGTGTTTTTTCTCTCTTTTAGAGCAGGTAACCAACACTGGACATTCAGTAAATTTTTGTTATGTTTTGTTTTATTTTTTGAGACAGGATCTCACTATGTAGTTGAGACTGACCTGGAACACAGTATGTAGCCCAGGCTGGTCTCGAACTCACAGCGATCCTCCTGCCTCAGCCTCCAGAGTGCTGGGATGACATGCGTGTGCGCCCACTCCTGGCATTTAGTGAATATTTGTTGAATGAATGAATAAGTTCGCAATCCCACCCAACAGAAGTAACCAGTGATATTTGATATTGCTCTCCTACTAAGAGGAGCTTATGCGTGTGCCACCACTCCTGGCATTTAGTGAATATTTGTTGAATGAATGAATAAGTTCGCAATCCCGCCCAACAGAAGTAACCAGTGATATTTGATATTGCTCTCCTACTAAGAGGAGCTTGAATTAAACAGCTTATATTCAGATCATCCATTATAGGCTTAATACTAACAAAATTTAAGTGAAAAGCTGACCAGCACAGGCTTAGCTCAGAGAAGCCTTTATTAATTCCCATATTTCACAGCACCATAGGTGGGTACATGTAAGATGCATTAAAGGACTTTGTTCGTTTTCTATTGATTCATTCATTCGTTTGTTTATGGACTCAGCAAATATTTATGGAGCTTCCTCTGAGCTAGACATGGGGAAATGATGAAGACATTCTTTCTCTTGAAGAGCACACGGCCTGGAAAGAGAAACAGATGTGAAACGAGTATTGAATTGGAGGGGCACTTTTAGATGTCACAGACAAAGTTGGGACACAGAAATGAGGAACTGAAAAAGGGAGCAAGGCTGTAAGCAGGGTATGCTGCCAGCTTCCCTTCAGGTGAATAGTGGGTAGATTTGGAAAGCATAAAACCTTGATCTCCCAAATTCCTCAAGCTCCCGGATGTTAATGTATTGTCAGTCGGATATGGACCCAGAGACTAGAAAATCAGACCGTCTCTCTTTGTTGTAAGCCCCATAGAGTTGCCTCTAGATAGCCGGTGAGATTAGTTTCAGGAGCTGTGTAGATACCAAAATGTGAGAACACTAAAGTTCCTTAAAAAGCTGTATTTACATATAATCTACGCCCACCTCCCATTCCCTTAACCTAATCTTTAGGTTGCTTATGATATGAATTCAGCGTAAGTGCTAGGTAAATATACTGTAGTATTTAGGAAATAGGGACTAGGAAAATGTCTGTACTCATGTTCAGTACAGATGGAATTTTTAAAGAAAATTTTTGGTAGACTGCTTGAGTTCATGGACGTGGAGGCCATGCATACAAGAGGCCCCACTGTATCTGTAACCAGAAACTTGATTGGAGGTGGGCACATTGCTGATGAGAAAGGCAGCCACTATGTCAGACATTTAATTGCTCCTACATATCCGGATTCAGTATGGACAAAAGTGGAAGAGAAAATAATCTAAGAGTTAGATATCCTTCTAGATGCTTGATGGAAAGACCTCACGTTAGTAAGAATGCCTGCTTTCTCTTCTTCTTAGCCATCACTGCAACTAATTGTTTTAAGGTGCTGCTGGTGGTTATAATTCTGAACCCAGGCTGGCTTTTGGCTGTATTCAAGTCCATATTTTATTTTTCTCATTGTCTTGAGAGCAGAACATTTTCTTTTCTGTGGCAGAGATGGGTTCTCACTGCAAATGAGAAACACACTTGTTACATTTTTATTGTCTTTTAATTGTCAAGAGTTAAAGAAACCACAATCCCCAAAATATAACACAACCACTTTTATGGTTATAACTTGTGAAGCATGGGTCTTTCCCCAGGACTTTGCAGGCAGAAGACTTGGAAATACAATCATCCAGGGGAGACATTTCTTATTTCGTGGTCTCCTCTATCATAGGACTTTGCGACAGTCCAGTTTCTATATTGCTACTCTCTTCTCATATAACCATCATTTTCTAAGAGAGCAAAGTGTAAAACAGTTGCAGTATAATTCTCTGAACCACTCACAGAGCAATAGTGCACATGAACGTGTCCTGTTCTTGAGCATTCAACCCTCAAGGACTTCTTTAAAAATCTCTGCTGAAGTAGGGAGACTGTTCCAGCCCAGCGCTTGTTTTTGCATCAAAACCCTGCAGCATCTCTGTGTGTTTTGTTTTCCACGTTTCGGTGATGTATCTCTGTGTCCTGTGACCATTTAGTTTTCTGCTCCATTTCTTCTCTGTTTAGACACTGCCATGCCCCGTCCTACATACTAATTACTGACTTTTTGCTTCTGTGGTGCTTGATTCATTGTGTCACATTTTCCCATGTGAAAGTGGACCAAGAACCTTGGCAAGGGGGTTAACGGATTTCAGAGTCACTCTTATTTAACCCTGGAAATCACAGAAAAATAAGAACCAGTGGCGGACCCACTTTAGTGAACAAGCTGTGGCCAGCATTGGCTGAAGACTGGCCATGGCACTGCTATGGCTACAAGCATGGCAGAACTTGGACAGCACTGGATACGGGCACTCTTGCTTCCCAATTTTCCAACTCCAGCGGGGAACATGTGGTGGAGAATAGAAATAGTCCAGGATGGGAGCCTTTTGGATAATAGTGAAATTCTTGTTACAAAGCAGATTGCGTGAACTTTTAGTATTATCACATCCTCTTCCTGGATCTCAGTTCTCTCATTTTAGAAATGCGGATATTTGACCAGAGCCTCTTGTGTGGTTCAAGAGCTTGAGGTTTTAAATAACTCCGTGCATTTGTTCAGAAGTCATTTATTTATCCTTATTATTTTCCAGCTCCTGTACTAAAGGCAATGAGTATGATCTTGAAATCTAAACAAGGAAGAAATTTACATTTTCTTTCTGAGGACTTTTGCGAATAGGCTTACGTTTAATACACATTTTACAACACTTGGTTAAATTTTTTTTAAAAAGGTTTTTCTCTTAAGGTGCACAGGATATGGAGCCAGTCTTAATGCTAAGAGAAGTTGTTGGTAATTAGTCTCAGGGGACATTGGAAGGACCTGCTTACCTTGTTAAAATAAAGTCTGCAATTAAGCTGGAAATGAAGGGAAAATTTCCCTTATGAAATAATACCACCAAGACTCTTAGGCCTCTCTCATCACTGCAAAGTAACTGATAAGTATTGAATATGAACCCTTATTCACAGGTTATCTTCTCCAGTTCTCTCTCACTGAGTGCTTTGGAGCCACACGTTGTATTGTGATTGACTAGGTAAAGCCTCAAGTTCATACAAGCCCCCAGTTTACTTCTTTTTCCTAAGGAATATATAAAATTTCCTTCATAGCAAGTCCCTCCAAATATTTTAGCAATACCACAGATGTAGTGATTGAGAAACTGCAAATTTTCATTGAAATTTATTTTGGCTCTTCACTTTAAAAAATTGAAATGGGAAAGAGCTTGCCAATTGTCACTTTGTGTAAATATTTTTCATTAAGAGTGTTCCAGGTGTCTTTGAAGCTGGCTTAGGCAATGAAAACTTTCTGTTCTCCAAGACTGATTTTTCCACTTGACAGTAATTTAAGACATAGGTTCCTTGGTGTATAAAAGGTGTGTAGTGTTATCTGTTATTATTATTTTAAAACCACCCATGATGCTATCAGCGATTCTGTTTCTTGACAATCACCACCACTATTCATATTTCAGACACACTGACATCAGTGCTAATGGGCATGCTTATAAATGATCTGGTGCAGCCCTGATCAGCTGAAGGGCAGGAGCAAGTGTCTCCTAATTAATGGAAGGACAGGAGAAGGTGTCTCCTAATTAGTTGAAGTGCAGGAAGAGATGTCTGGTCTAGCGAACAGTCCCTTGCACAGCTCTGAGGTAAATCTCAACAGCTGTATCTTTGATGACTCTTCACCTACATTAAACCAGTTCCTATCAATTACCTATAAACACCATCACCCTCAACTGCCATGTTGTACCACAGAGACACATCTATACGGTTCTGTTCATTTAATTTGTTATTGGTGACATGTTGTACTTAGGAATCATAATTTGTCTTCCAAAGAAGTTCATAACTATTAATTTACAAGAGTCCCACGAGAGTGCTGAGGACTGGAATTGTATGCCCATTTCTCAGAAGATAGGAGGGAGACTGGATAAAAGATGCTATTTTCCTGCCAATGGAGAGAGAACACCTGGGCATGGATCCTGTAGTTGGAGAGTTGCCTCACATCTGTAGGTGGCAGTTGATGCTGAGTTTGTTGCACAGGAGTGAGAATGACACCGATGTCCACAGAACTTCCATCATATTGTTCTGTTGTTCTTTTAAAAGATTTTTTTTTTTTTCCACATGGGCCCTTCTTGTTTCCTAGAGCTGCAGAGAATAATACAAACTCTGAGAGATTCCAGAGGGATATTTCAGTTCCTGGTGTGATGATGTTTTTCTTTCTCCAGGCCCACCATCTGCTCCGCTCAACTTGATTTCAAATGTCAATGAGACCTCGGTGAACTTGGAATGGAGCAGTCCTCAAAACACAGGAGGTCGTCAGGACATTTCTTTCAATGTGGTCTGCAAGAAGTGTGGAGCTGGTGACCCCAGCAAGTGCCGTCCCTGTGGAAGTGGGGTCCACTATACCCCACAGCAGAATGGCCTGAAAACAACCAAAGTCTCCATCACCGACCTCCTCGCGCATACCAACTACACCTTTGAGATCTGGGCAGTGAATGGGGTGTCCAAGTATAACCCTAGTCCGGACCAGTCAGTGTCTGTCACTGTGACAACCAACCAAGCAGGTAGGATTCCAGTCTTTTGTATTTCATGATCTGAAGGTTTATAGAGAAAAGGCTTAGGTGATAACAGCTAGTGGTATTAAAGTTCCGCTGGTGAAGTGGAACCGGTTATAAACATAGAAACTATGTTGTAATACAAAAGTACTTAGAAGGACATTTCAGCATTCAGCAGCTACTGTATTGTATTTATTTTGGACATTAACTACATAGCGTGTCCTCCTGTAGGAGATGGTTCCGATAAAGTTAAGAATAAGACAGTGTCTGATCGGGAGAGGACGACTCTCTAGTGAGCCCGCTCGCTCATTCGCTTGCTGCTGGACTTCATATTTGCCATGTTAATCACAGAGTTCACGGCTGGGTGTCAGATCATTTATAGATTAAACAGGATCGTAAAACTGAGTTTAACTAATGCGGAGTACTCCCACTGGTCTTTGCTGCGTTTTCTAACAGAAGCACTTGCAGCTGTAGCATAATCTTGTTCTTTAATGGAACATGGTACAGATAACCAACATGGACCTTTATTAGATAATCTTGATGAAAATGTTTGTGTCATTGACAAAATTTACCTTAAAACACTCATTTTGCAGCCACTTTCATGGCTGAACCCCTCACTGACTTTGGGGTAACGGGGTGGCTGATCCATCCACTCTGTTTCTTGTATCCTTCTCTGTCATACAGAAGACTAGGAAACGCTTCTATTTTTGAAGTTTTGGCTGAGTTAACAAAAGAATTATCACAAAATCTTCAATGTGAAATATTTTGAAAATCTGGCCTTTGAGGCTCTGGTCCCTGATCTTCTCATCTCTATCTCTTTCCTGAAAAAATTTGCACATCACATGTGTGCCATTGCTGGCTCTTTGTTATTTTTAGAGTCAAATAGGGAGAGGGGACAGAGAGAAGGTGCTCTAGTTTATCCTTTCATGAGACTCTTCAGGACTAACATCACAAGAAGCAGATCATAAATTGTCAAAATCCTATTTAATAAATCCATTTCCTCGAACAACACTTCATTCTTAATGAACGTTTCAGTCAATGAACTGTATGTATATTTAAGGAGAATATCTGTACTAATTGATCCATTAGTGAAAAATATTCCAGAGTCCTATCCATTTTGCAATTATTTCCCCATCTCCTGTTGAATTTTATACAGTATTCTTTTGTTTTCAAGTGAATACTTGGCGAATATTCTGAACAGGGGCTGGAACAGCCAGTTTTTAAGGGGGAATCTTCAGCTATACAAACATGAACAAGTCTCTTCTGATATGTAGTGCGAAGAGGCCATTTGGCTTTTAATTCCGCACTTTCAGATTGTGAACTGTTAGTGATCATCAGTTTCCTTTTTTTTTCTGCAAAGGCCAGAATAATTTAGCAGGTTTTGTTTCATTTTTAATAGCATAGAAGCTCTCTGAAGTTGCCAACCTTTATCAGTGCTGTTTTGGGAGAGCGCACTGGAGACAGCACAGACCGATCCTAGGACCTTGCATTGGTGCTTCTGGTGTGTGAATTAGGGTCTGTTGCGGCTCAGAACAATTTGTGAATCCTTGGAGCATCCAGGTGATGACCCAGTCAGTACTGTTATGTTCAGCCCTTTATACCTTTTCGGCTATCCTCAGACACATCAGAATATTGTTCCCTAACTGCATTAAAACTAGGATTGGAACTGCTGAGGTGTTTGCTATGCAAGGTGAAGTCTGAAGTCACTGTTTGGCAGAGGAAAGCCCTTGTGTGAAGGGCTGATGACAGGCTTTGCTCCCACATATCTGAGGCGGAGAAGTCCGCCATTCTTTATGTACTTAAGGATTCAAACCGAGAGATGATATGAACCTCTACCAGGCTGACAGGTCCAAAGAGCACAGAGAAAAAAATCTTCCAAAAGAAGATGTACAAAAATAAAAAATATTCCGAGAGAGGAGAAAAAAAATCCAAAATCTTATTAAAATATAGATGACTTTTTTTTTTTTTTAGATCTAGCAGAAAAGCGGACAGGTAATTCCTTTGACACATGTTTGTTTTTGTTTTTGGTTTTTTGGTTTTTTGTTTTTTTTTTTTGTAACCTCTATGCCATGGTGTGCCATGCTGCTGGGAGGTTTGCCGAATAGGACAAAATTCCATCTCCCTATTTTAATTTTCATGAAGGGTAATGCTGGGAAGCTGCTCAAAATTAAAAATAAATCTTTCAATAAGGAGACCTCCTGTGTGGCCAGACAGAAAGCTTTCCACTTAGGAGAGAATTATATATGTGCACAGCCCTGCTTCATTATCCCACCATAATTTTAAGTTCATGAATTCAAAATCATCAGTATAGTTTATCTTTGATTAACAAACCCTTTCTTCATAATAGTACAAATTAATAATGTACGCTGAAATTCTGGGTGAATGTAGCAACCATAAACTCTGTCAAGACTCCCCTAAGCATATTTACATACACACAATTATGTTCTAATTGCATTTGTTCCTATCATTCCATTAAATTAAATTCCTTAAGGACCTCTATAGGCACCGATGTCTCATTCGATAAGGAGTACATAGAACTAATGAATGTTAGCACTTGGCACCTAGAGGGCACGAAGTTTCATGGCTGAGTGTTCATGGGGTTCTTTCTGTCATCTCTAACACGATAAAACACAAAATTGTACACACAAGGACTCCCAGAATTCCTCTTCCTGTGGTCACTGCCATGGGGTCTTTAATAATTGAGGCATATCTCTGTGAAGGTGAAGGAATTCCAGCTGATTCTTGAATGAGAGCTGGTTCTAGAAACCAAGGAAAATCCTCCTCCACCTCCTCCTCCTCCTGAAAGCAGAGAGTTGGTTTCCTTCAAAATTATGAGTTAATTTATTGCGTTCAGCTTGGCATTCTTGCCTTTTATGAGCCCAAACAGTGTGAGAGATTTAGGTTTAACAGGGCCTTAGTCATTTAGTAGCAGAAGGTGTGAATGGACTGTGTTCTTCTATGGCTGTGGAAACCACTCTTAGCCAGATCTTCTCCTGAGGAGCTAATAGCATCTTTTCTCTCCCCTCCTGGTTGCTACACCCACCCATTGACACAGAAGACAGAGAAAATCAGGGTGTGTGTAAGCTTTATTTTTGATAAGTTGTTTGAAGGATGTGAGCTTTGTATCTATAGCCCAAAAGACTTTTTTCAATGACACTTCTGACCCAGCTGGCTGGCCTCAGATTCCTTGCTAGGACAAAGCCTGCCCTGTTTGTGTTGTGGGATTGACACTCCAGGCAGGTTCAAAATGTTTACCACCCCCCTCCAGCACTCTGGGAAGGACCCAGAAGTTACACGGTGCCAGATCCAGTGAATAAAGTGGAGGAAAGCAAGCTGCAATGTTTTTACCAACCTGCTTTTCCACTGAATAGCACTTGCCATTGGCATTCACTGTATTTTTGATCACAACTTATAAAGACACTCCCAAAAGTGGTCTTTAAGTACCACTTGAGAAAGTGGCAAAAATGATGGGTGTGTTTGAAGCAAAAGGGAAGATCTGGAGAAGGATTAGTGACAATGTGCCTTTCACTGTGATGATTTTTTTTAAAAAAATTGAACCATATATTTTGATTACATCTCCTAGAACTTTACCAAATTCTCAGCTAAGATGTCACCCTTATCTCATCTCCCATACCAGTGAGGCAGAGGTGGGAAGAGGGAAGGTGGGGAATTGCTCTAGCTGAAGTCACGACACAAGAAACCTTGAGACTGAGGCTCTTTCTGCAATCACTGTCCTTCATTGCAGGCAAAAGGAACAAAATGCGATTTGGTTTTCCCCCGTCTTCCTCCTGTAGCAACTCATTTTGTCTTTTGCTTAGGAGGAGATAGTCTGATGTTTATGAAAAATGGATAAGCAAGCTGCTGGGTGAATTGTTCTCTGGATGGCTTTGCTTCTGTTTACTTTTCCTTAAGTGGACCATCTCAGGCAAATGCATACCGGATACATTCCTACGAGAAATAAATCCTGTGTAAATGAAACAAGGTTTTTCTAGCCAAGCAACAGAACTGTGACTATTTTTCCCAGAAATGCTGTGATGGCAGCCAGCATTAATATCACTGAGTTGTTTTCATTGCACATTGCTCCACCGCCCCAGGCTCGGTCTTTTAGCTACGAGGCTAGATCATACCCCAAAAGTGCTTGTTTTCAGTCCTTACGAACCCACTTCTATGAGTAATGGTCTCTAGTAACCCCAAATTGTACCCTCAGGCAGAATACATTTTTGATTTTCATTTGTCTGTGACATTGTTCCAGATACTTTTTCACGGGAGAGATCTGGTCATCTTTCTAGTGCTGCTACTGCGTCCTAGTGACAAACTGTCTTTGTCGCTTTCCTGTTACTGAGACACAGTTCTGACATCTGCAACTTAAAGGAGGAGAGGTCTATTCTGGCTCATGTTTTTAGTCCATGGTCTACTGGCTGCAGAATGGCATGAGATTGGCGACAGAAAGCTGCTTACCCTGTGGTAACCAAGAAGCAGAAAGAGAAGTGAGGAGGTGAGGGAGACAGAGGGAGACAACCCTTCTGGGTATGCTCTTCCTTTTCCAACCAGGTCCATCTCCTAACAGCACATTTAGCTTTGGATTCATCAGTGACACCTGCGTGACCCAGTCACCTTCCAGAAACCCAACCTCTGAAATAGTGGAGCTCCTGGAGACATCATAGATCTGAACCCCGAGATTTGTTAACACTCTGAGTCTGGAGGAGTTCAAATATTTGATCACATCATCACTTAAACCGTGTTCATCTCTAAGATCTTTTGCAATCCTAAAATTCTATGCGTCCAAATATACAAACACAGCTATGGAGCTTGTGGACCTCCGGAGCATAATGATGACAAGTGGAAACTATTTTCAAAAGTGCTCCAGCAGAATTATCGGGATACGTCTGAATTCTGCATCCCCTCAAACCCTCCATTCCCTCAACCTTCCAAGATAATGATTTTGGATGGAAAACCTTAAGATAGCTGAACCCCTGGGACAGTTGTCCTCCATCTGGGGTGATTTCTGC